TTTTTTTTTTTTTTTTTTTTGAGACGAAGTCTCGCTCTGTCACCCAGGCTGGAGTGCAGTGGCACAATCCCGGCTCACTGCAACCTCCACCTCCCAGGTTCAAGTGATTCTGCTGCCTCAGCCTCTCGAGTAGCTGGGACTACAGGCATGTGCCACCACACCCAGCTAATTTTTTGTATTTTTAGTACAGACCAAGTTTTACTGAGTTAGCCATGATGGTCTCAATCTCCTGACCTCAGGTGATCCACCTGCCTCGGCCTCCCAAAGTGCTGGGATTAGAGGCGTGAGCCACCACACCCGGCCACAATTCTTAATAGGATTATCCTATTACCTTTACATTCTATATACAACTTATACTTTCTACCTTTCTCTCTTTTTTTAAAAAAATATTTTTATTTTTAAAAAGACCAGGTCTCACTATGTTGCCCAGGCTGGTCTCAAACTCCTAGACTTGAGTGATCCTCCCTCTTCAGCCTCACAAAGTGCCAGGATGGCAAGTGTGACGCGCTGTACCTTTCTCTCTCCAGCACCTGGCATGTCCTTGCCTGTGTCTAACACCTTTCCTCTCATTCTCTGCTTGGAAAAATTCTGTTCCCGCAGAGGAAAGAGCAATCTGGATTCAAATCCTGGCTTTGCCACCTCCTCACCCCATGACCTTGGGCCAGCTGCTTAACCTCTCTGAGCCTCCCTATCTGGAGAATAGGGATCAAAATGGCCCCTATCCCCTGGGGTTCTCACCCCACAAGCCTGTTTGTTCTCCTAGAAGCAAAACGCCCTGGCCTGCAGGCACATGCTACTGCCATCATGGAACAATGACAATGCACTGTTCTCAAAGAGTCTCTTAGTGACCTCCCTGAGAGAACGGGGTATGGATAATACCTCCTTGAATTCTAATGCCAAGGCTCCGGGTCCACATGATCCCTGGGCAGTTGCAGAGAATTGAGGGCTCTCCAGGGAGCTGTCCCTCCTCCCACAGCCTCTGCCCCTTCTGCTGCCATGTGATGAAGCTGGGCCTCATGCTGGCTCCTGGGCTCCCTGCCCACATGGGTCCCTCCAAAACAGAGACACTGGCCACCAGCTTTCCTGCCCCAGAAGAGCCTCCCTGCACTCGAAGGAGGAGCAGCTCACCTCGGCACACAGGCACACACTTGCCCAAGCTGAAGAAGTGGGAGTGCAGCTCCTTGGTGAAGCAGATGTCTGCAGCTGCAGGGGTCCTGAGCAAGGATGGATGCAATCAGTCCTGTCCCCTACACCCCACTCCACCACCCTGCCCCCAGCATTGGCATGCAGAAGGGAGGCACAGGGGGAGGGCCTATAGGGCCCCACCCCATGCCCTGCCTGGACTGCTGGACGCCACCTCCTGGGCAGAGCAGGAGGAAGGCAAATCTGGGCAGAGGCAGGTGGGGCCGGCCGGGCCCACTTCGAGGGGCCCATTCCTCCTCACCAACGCATCAACTTCAGGTTCCAGATGTGGCGGAGTTTCAGGATCCCTAGAGGAGAGGAAAGGCTTCATGCCCCAACTTTCCTTATACCCAGGCAGTGCCTTTCCTTCATCCCATTTCAGGGAATGAGGGACAAGGACAGCAGCACTACCATTTCCCTACAGCCCAAAGTGGCATCTTTCAGACACTTAGTCCGGACCGTTCAGCTCTCCCTGGCTCCTCCCTCTCCCCCCATCCTCCACATCTTACTCATCATTGCACCTGGACTGCCTACCTCCCCAACATACTTGGACGGTGGCCATTCTTCTATACCTCTCCCTGTACTGTCACTGCCACCAGCCCAGTCTAGGCCACTGGATGTCTCCAAGGTCTCCTTCCTGACTTCTCAGGAGCCACCTGTGGCATCTCTAGGCGTTTCTCCACCCAGCAGCCAGGGTGAGCTCTGAAGGGCTGCAGTGTGGCCAGGTGGGTCCACACGAGCTCTAGGACAGTCTAACCCCTCTATTCAGGAGTGGAGGCCCCGTGTACCCCTCCACCCAGCCATCAGTTCATCGGAGCCAAGCAACTTCCTGTGAAGTCAGCAGAGCAGGAACTTCTCGGTGTGGCAATCAGGTCCCCACACAGGGCTGGCTGAAGGGTACAGGCCCAGCGAGGGGCAAACCTGGAGCTAGGACACTGGGTTTCCAGTCCCTGGCTCAGAACTTCCCTCACAGGATACCCTATTACCAACCCCAATTTTTTCCCAAGACTGTGGGGCCCTGGATGGTTTAAAGAACAGAGATTTTACCGAGTTAGCCACGATGGTCTCAATCTCCTGACCTCAGGTGTTCCGCCTGCCTCGGACTCCCAAAGTGCTGGGATTACAGGTGTGAGCCACCGCGCCCGGCCAAAATTCTTAATAGGATTATTCTTACCAAGTTTAACAGCCTGACGCTAAAGGAGCTGTAAGAACTGCTCCATTCCCCAGGCCCTGTGCAAATAATGCTCCCTCAGGGGATGCTGCAGGAGCCACACATCAAAGTCTAGCCCTGAGGCAGAACACCCAGAAACCAGTATCAGGGCTCCATGAAAAGGCAGCGAGAAGGGGTTTGTTCTGAGGAATTTGGGCCCCTCCCGAATCCTCGTCCTTCCCACCCCTGCCCCGCGCACTGGCCCAGGTACCCCAGAGATGAGGGTCATCCATGCAGGACTGGTGATTGGACACGGTGATGAGAGGCGTGGCCGGGCCTCGGTTCTCGATGAGCTCGTACAGCACCTCCTTGTTGTGCACGGTCAGGTGGTTCATGTACTCTGGCGAAGAAGGAGAGGTCAGACGCTCAGGTTTCGCCTGCCAGGCCAGGGCCGCGGCGTCCCCTACCATGAGTCCAACTCTGGCCGGGCGTGGGTACCCGGGCGGGCCTGCCTCGGCCTGGGCCAACTCACTGGTCCAGAAGCAACTGTAGGTGCCCACCAGGCCCATGACGACGCTGCTGGCCAGGGTCCAGGTGAGCGGCGGCACCGCGGGGAACGGCCACTTCACGTGCAGGGGCATCCCTACCCAGCCGGCGGCCGGCGCTTCCCGCGCCCCGGGCCGGCCTGTGGGGCGCCTCTAGGTCTGCGACCTCGATCGCTGGAGACACTAGCCCCTGACAGGCCGGCGCACAGACGGACAGGAGGCGCGGCGCGACTGGGGACTGGACCGAGGTCCTTTCGCATGTCAGGCCGGAGCCTCGCCCGGCCCGGCTCTCTCCCCACTGAGGAGCGGTCGCTGTGGTCACAGGCCGTGGGTGCGCTGCGGAACAGGCGGGAACGGGAAGACGGCCGCTGGCGGACTGGCCCCGCGCACCCGCCAGAAAGCGAGCCTGCGCCGGTGCCTGGCTTCCCGCCGACTGTCGCAAAGCGAGCCCGGAGCGCTTTACGGCAGCGAGCCCAGCCGGGTGACCACTGGAAGGGGCCCCGGGAAGGGGCCGCCCCCGCAGTGCTCCGGCTTCTCGGCAGCCATTTCCGCTAGTCTTTTGTCTCTAGTATTTCTGTTTTTTGTTTGACACACGGTCCAGGCAGACTCAGGCTGGAGTGAAGTGGTGCGATGACGGCTCACTGCAGCCTCGACCTCCCAGACTCGAGCGATTCTGCTGTCAGCCTCCTGAGTAGCTAGGACCAAGAGCGCGCGCCACCACGCTCGGCTAATTTTTGTATTTTTAGTAGATACGGGGTTTCACCATGTTGGCCAGGCTGGTCTCTACTTCCTGACCTCATGTGATCCACCCGCCTCCTCCTCCCAAAGTGCTGGGATTACAGGCGTGAGCCACCGCGCCCGACCATGCAAACAATTTTACATAGTTACAGTACTACATGAGACTATGTATATGTAGCAATATATAATCTACTTTGTGGCAGAATATACAATATATACAGCAATATATTGTGTATTGTATGTAACACAAGAAGCAGTTTTTTGTTTTTAAGACGGAGTTTTTCACTCTTCTCACCCAGGCTGGAGTGCAATGGCACCATCTTGGCTCACTGCAGCCTGCGCCTCCCAGGTTAAAGCGATTCTCTTGCCTCAGCCTCCTGAACAGCTTGGATTACAGGCAAGCACCACCACACCCAGCTAATTTTTTTTTTTTTTTTTTTTTTTTTTTGTATTTTTAGTAGAGACGGGGTTTCGCCATGTTGGCTAGGCTGGTCTCGAACTCCTTACCTCAGGTGATCCGCCTGCCTCGGCCTCCCAAAGTCCTAGGATTACAGGCATGAGTCACCACGTCCAGCCGAGAAACAGTATTTTATACCACCTGATACATTCACAATGTTGTCAGCTACTACCTCTAGTTCTGAAACATATTTGTGACCCAGAAAGAAAGCCCCCTATGCATTAAGCAGCCAGTTTTTAATTTCTTATTTCTTTTTTAAGACAGTCTCGCTCTGTCGCCAGGCGCCGGGCTGGAGTGCAGTGGCGTGATCTCAGCTCACTGCAACCTCTGCATCCCAGGTTCAAGCAATTCTCCTGCCTCAGTCTCCTGAGTAGCTGGGACTACAGGCGTGTGCCACCATGCCCAGCTAGTTTTTGTATTTTAGTAGGGACGGGGTTTCATGTTGGCCAGGATGGTCTCGATGTCTTGACCTGGTGTCCGCCTGCCTCGGCCTCCCAAAGTGCTCAGATTACAGGCATGAGCCACCTCACCCGGCCCAGTTTTTTATTTTTATTTTATTTTTTATTTTTTGAGACAGAGTTTCACTTTTGTTGCCCAGGCTGGAGTGCAGTGGCACAATCTCGGCTCCCTGCAACCTCTGCCTCCCGGGTTCAAGCAATTCTCCTGCCTCAACCTCCCGAGTAGCTGGGATTACAGATTTGTTCTACCACGACCGGCTAATTTCATATTTTTAGTAGGTACAGGGTTTCTCCATGTTGGTCAGGCTGGCCTCAAACTCCTGACTTCAGGTGATCCTCCCGCCTCTGCCTCCCAAAGTGATGGGATTACAGGCTGAGCCCCCGCGTCTAGCCTCCATAATTTATTTTTAAACCATAATTTATTGATTTTTAATACTTTTTCCAGCCTTCTGCCTATCACCACATCCAATCCATTCTCTGCAACTATCCCATGAGGGGCTGAGTGGATCCGACCCCACTGCCAGCTCACAGACCCCGCTGGAGCACCTCAGTTGTCCCAACAGTGTCACTGCAGGACCCCACGGGATGTTGGACTGCCAGCTCCCTGGGTCTCCTCCTCTGTGGAGCAGATCCTCAGTCCCCTTGACCTCACAACCATGGCCAGATCGTGTTCGGACTGTCCCTCACTTTGGGTCTCCTAACTCAGGAGTGTGCAGCCACAATGAGACTCAGCACCTGAGAACAGGGACAGAAGACTCGTGTCCTTGGGGTGCCCGGTCTCGCAGCGTTGGGCACGACTTCTAGCTACTGCGCATTCCCCAGCAGCTCCTAATTGGGTACCTGGACCGGGAGCTGAGCAACGGGCTGGGCGAGTGAAGCTTGGTGTCTCACTCAGGCGCCAGCTCCTCCTTGCCCCTGGGCCATGGCACAGGTAACTGCTCATTAAGGGACTGCTGCTGCTCAGCCGCAGAGACTGCTGGCCTGCCACGCTTGAGTGACTCACAGGTCTGTCACGTCCTGCTGGCCCGGGAAGGCGGGATCTGGGTGGGAAGGTGGGCGGGCAGGTCAGCAGTTCCCAGGCGCAGCGTTCGCCCTCCTGGCCGGTGGCGGGGCGGAGCCGGGGCTGGCCTGCTGTAGGCCAGGGTGGGGCCTCCGGCCCGGCCCGGCCCTTCCCGGCCGGCCGGGTGGCTCAGGAACACAGCCTCTTCCTCTTTTTCCCCTTCCTAACCCTACCCAGGCAGGAGCTGCTCTTCTGGAGTGTCGAGATCCACTTAAGGATGAGGCAGACTTGGTGACAAGCTGGTCTGAGCAGGTATGGGAGCCCCCTGGGGAGACAGAAGAAGGGAGGAAGTTGCCTTCTGCCTGGGAAGGGCTCGGGAGGGGGAGGAAACCCCATGGCTCCAGCCAAGGCTGTGTTGACAGCCAGCGTTTGGGGCAGATGCCAGCAACAGTTGCCCTCTGGTTCTTGCTGATAGCCCTCGTAGGGGTCCCTGACACCAGAGCCGCCAAGGCTGCCTGTACCAGCCCAGAGCTGCCCACATGCCCACAAATATCCCAGAATAGGCACCAGGGCAGGGAACCCAAACTAGCATGAGTGACAGAGCAGGTGGTCAGGGAGAAACAGACATGAAACCTAGCCAGGAGAGAGAAACCGCAACAGAGAGACAGATAAGGGAAGACAGAGTAGAGGGGGAAGGTGAGACAGACAGGCAGAGCCTCAGAGACGCAGGAACTGAGGCCGAAGAGAAGGTGACAGTGTGGTGGAGAAAAGCAGGCAGAGCAGAGGAACTCATTCCTCAGGATGTAAGCCACATGGACAGGGCGTGGAGCAAGGGGCTGAGCCCAGCAAGGTCAGGTGAGCGTGAGACAAAGATAAACCGAGAGAGAGGGGAGCTCCAGCTGCTGAGATGAATAAGAAGGGCTCCCCAGTGGTGACAGAAACAGGGGAAAGAGGCTCCATCGCAGGTTGCAATGGGGAATATTTGGCCATATCTGAGATCTGGTTACATGCACATGCCCTTGTATGCAGCAATTCACTGCTGGGAGTTTATCTTAAAGAGAACACCTCACAAGTAGGGAGGCAGAGATGAACGAAGATGCTCCTGCAGTTGCTAATGAAGGTGAAAAGCACTGGGGTCTCTAGCTTGCTGGCCAGGCACGGTGGCTCACGCCTGGAATCCCAGCACTTTAGGAGGCTGAGGCGGATGGATCACTTGAGGTCAGGAGTTTGAGACCAGCCGGGCCAACATGGTAAAACCCTGTCTCTACTAAAAATACAAAACTTAGCCGGGTGTGGTGGCACACGCCTGTAATCCCAGCTACTCAGGAGGCTGAGGCAGGAGAATCGCTTGAACTTGGGAGGCGCAGGTTGTCGGGAGCCGAGATTGCACCACTGCATTCCAGCCTGGGAGACAGAGTGAGACCCCCTCTCTTCTAAAAATACATTTAAAAAAATTAGCTGGCTGTGGTGGCACACACCTGTACAGTAGTCCCAGCTGCTTGGGAGGCTGAGGCAGGAGAATCGCTCGAACCTAGGAGGCAGAGGTTGCAGTGAGCCGAGACCACGTCATTGCAGTCCAGCCTAAGTGACAGTGAGACACCTTCTCAAAAAAAAAAAAAGTTAGCTTGGTGCGGCAGCATGCACCTGTAGTCCCAGCTACTCGGAAGGCTGAGGCGAGAGGATCACCTGAGCCTGGAAGGTGGAGGTTGCTGTTAGCTGAGGTAACTTTATCGCCCTCCTGCCTGAGCAATGGAATGAGACTCTATCTCAAAAAAAGAAAAGAAAAAGTGGACTAGGCCAGGTGCAGTGGCTCAGGCCTATAATATCCCCGCATGTTGGGAAGCTGAGGTAGGAAGATCACTTGAGTCCCGGAGTTTGAGACCAGCCTGGGAAACATAGACTTCAGAAGGCTGCAGTGAGCCGTGATGGCACCATTGCACTGCAATCTGGGTGACAGAGCAAGACCTTGTCTCAAATAAATAATAAAAGAATAAGCTTGGCCGCTTGTGCACTGTTGGTGGGAATGTAAAATGGTGCAGATCACCACGGAGACCAATATGACAGTTCCTCAGAAAACTAAAAATAGAATTCATATGATCCAGCAATTCCACTTCTGAGTATATGCCCAAAAGAACTGAAATCAGGAACTCCAGATATGTATACCCTTACATTCATAGCAGTACTATTCATAATAGCCAAAAGGTAGATGCGACCCAGGGACCGTCAACAGACACATGAGGCTGGGGCACCAGTGCTCTCATTCCTGCAGCCTCAGCACTTGGGAGGCTCAGGCAGGAGAATCACTTGAGCCCAGGAGTTCAAGACCAGCCTGGGCAGCATAGTGAGACTGCGTCTCTACTTAAAAAACAACAATGAAAACCAGATGGATGAATGAATGAACAAAATGTGGTCTACCCAGACACCCAGACAATGGAATATGATTCAGCCATGAAAAGGAAAGAAATTCTGACATGTGCTCCAGCAGGAATGACCCTTGAGGACATTTTGCTCAGTGAAGTGAGCCAGTCACAGAAAGGCAAATGCTGTAGGATTTCACTTTTTTTTGAGACAGATTCTCACTCTGTCGCACAGTCTGGAGTGCAGTGGCAAGATCTTGGCTCACTACAACCTCCACCTCCTGGATTTAAGCTGATTCTTCTGCCTCAGCCTCCTGAGTAGCTGGGATTATAGGTGCATGCCACCACGCCCAGCTAATTTTTGTGGTTTTTGTAGAAAACAGGGTTTTACCATGTTGGCCAGGCTG